AACTGGTCTTTGCCTTTCTTCAAGAATGATCACTAACAAACTAAATGTTCATCAGTGAGGAATGACTAATAATGAAAAAATATATATTATGCAATGTTACACAACAGATAAAATTGTATCAACGAGGATCTATATATATTGACTTGGAAAGAAATCCACAATATATTATTTTTTTATTTTTTAAATATATTTTATTGATTTTTTACAGAGAGGAAGGGAGAGAGATAGAGAGCCAGAAATGTCGATGAGAGAGCAACATCGACCAGCCGCCTCTTGCCCACCCCGTACTGGGGATGTGCCTGCAACCAATGTACATGCCTTTGATCGGAATTGAACCTGGGACCCTTCAGTCCGCAGACCGATGCTCTACCACTGAGTCAAACTGGTTTTGGCCACAATATATTATTTTAAAAAGACAAGTCAATAAACAAAGAGTTATCACAATTTTTATAAGAGGAGAAAAAATTGTGTGGTTTGTCACACATGTACACATATAGGTGTGGAATGGTTTGTTCTGGGATTGAAAGGAGAGTGGGGAAGATTTTGACATCTTAGTTTTATTTTGTTTTATATGTTTTCATACAGTATTATTTAATTCACAAAGTGAAAGGGAGATATATCAAGTTTTATTCCATCCTAATATGTCCATACACAAACATCTTGGGATAAAACCATATGGTCAAGGAAGATTATATGCTTTGCACATGGTCGCATTTTATTTGCTAGTTATAGATTGCTATAGTTGGTGGTACAGACTTTTACTTGCTGGGTCAGACTAAACAAATGACTTCTACTTTTCATGACTCAGTTATTCCTTTCATAAAATGGGAATACTACTTTCAGTGTATCCATGAGGTATTGTAGGGGTCGAAAGGCTCAACTGAGATGTGATAGATTTGCTCACCTGTAAAGACATTCTTAACTCAGATCTTAGGCACCTTGGTCTTGACCATGATCTAGTGTGACAGGATGAATCTCTGGTTCTTGTCAGCAGCTTTTGGTTCTGCTGCATTTATGCAGAACAAACCTATTCATGAACTGCCTTTCAGTCTTGCTGTGATATTTAGCATTTCCCAGGGATAAAGATAGTTTTGACTTTAGAAAATAGCCAAAAATCATTTGGAGTCAAATTTGATTCATAAGATGGTAATCCAATTTTGTCATTCAATTTTTCTTTAAAAACAGGTATGTTACTGTGAATTTATAAGGCCTATTTTGTGTGTATTATAAATGAGGTATGACATTTCAAAATATGTGTGGAGCATTGGATTACATATGTTCCCTTCAAAATATGCATATCTAGAGGTTAATGCACATGTACACACAAGTACTAGCATATTTGTTAAAGACTTGTTGTATTGAATATATCGTAATTTCTGGTATCATGGGGGATTTTTGCCCACATGATGGATGACATGTCCATTGGGCAACAAATATGTTTTATTTGTCAGAATAAATTAGAACACATTTAATTTTCATGCTTAAATACTTAATGCTTTTCATGGGACACTGATTTATTTTTTCTTTTCTTTTCTTTTTTTTTGAAAAACTAGATGATACAGAGAGAGTACCAAAAAAAGGACAACTGGAAACTTCTGGATACCTGCCCAAACAGTCAATCAAAAAATCCTGGAAAATCTCTATGTCGCCCGACCGGTTCCTACTGACAGTTAATGCCCTGCAGCAAGCCCATAATTCAGGGAAGTATGCCTATCCGCATAGGGTCCAGTCCGAAGTCATTGATGTTTGGGAACCTTCAATTTCACACCCAAGGAAGGTCATAGGCTTCAAAGGAAAATCATTACAACATGCCGTTGACCGTTTGAGAGCCATCCACCCTTCTACAGATGTGAAAGAAACCAGTATTTCCCTTGAAATCCAAAAACTGCAGCCCAACTTGAAGAACTCTCTGCACCATTCCCAAATTCAGTCTACCATACCCCAGCCCATGATTATCCGCTCCAGCTTAGGTGAAGACCAAGTTGCCAGTTCCATTGGCCGGGCAGTACACAGCTTCAGACCCTTAACCAGCAGGCATGTCATTAAGGCAAACCGCATGCTGGCTCCGCAAGTAGGCAAGACAACCCAGCCTGTCAAGAAAGAACGGCCTTGCTACTGCATGGCCCTCGATCCATTTAGAATGAACAGCGACTTCATGCTGTTGACTGTGAGGGAGGAGAAAGAATACGAGGAAGCCAAGCTGAAAGAATATCAGGCCACAAAGCCCACTGGAGTGGTCAACCCAGAAAAGGCCAGAAAAGCTGCATGGATCAGGAAGATCAAAGGCCTGCCCATAGATAACTTCATGAAGCACGGGAAAACCGCAGCCCCTGAACTTGGTCCAAATGTTTTTATCTGAACCAGCCTTGTGAGATTACAATGTCTTGCAATAAAAAGGAAGCAAAGTAGACATTGGTGTTTGGCTTATTTTATCGTAGTGAAGTTGGGATGACAGAGGGAGGGTGCTTGCTGTCAGTCAAACCTGGGAACAGAAATAAATGGCGTCAATGCAAGCCTGTGAAAATCTGGGAATACATAATCCCCAGGAACTCACTCTCTTGGCTCGTGGGGCTCTCTTGGCTCGTGGCTGCTTCCTTGCATTTGTCCATGTTTCCTCCATAGCCACCGTGGCCCTGCGGACCGCACACGCAGTGGACTGATAGACTGCGGATGGGAATACAAGCTAAGCTAGCCTGATGCTGGACTGGACACTGCTCCAAGGTGGAGTGAAACTCCGGACACTGGCCGATTCCAGCTCTGCTGAGGCCACAGCTACACGGCTTCCTTGGTGGGACAAGGGGACATGGGACCTTGGAAACTCGGGGGTGTAATTCCACAGAAACAAAGCTTTGTACAGTATCTCATCCTCCCATGAGAGTCTCAGAAAATTCCTTTTCTGGGGAAATCACAAGAAGCTCTCTCCCACCAGCAACAGATGGAGATGTGGAAATCTCCCTACCTCTAACAGTATCAGGGTCCAGGCAGGTAATTTGGAAGAGTGCAGGCCACCACTGGAGAGAGCAAGCCCCATCCAAAGGGGACTGCTCCTACTCAGTGGCTCAGCATGGCCACAGGATGCTGTCAGATAACAGAAAATATATATTGGCTTCTGCCACTCATACCTGGCATAGCTCTTGAAACCTTTGTAATTTCCCAAGCAATATGAATACTAGGAATAAATATCTTTCGTTCTAATATTTGTCTTTAACCCCCTCTTTGGCACAGAGATCTTGAAAAACCTTTTAATTCCTAAGTGATATCAGCACTTAGTGTTCTAATGATGTGGCTGGGTGGTCTCTTGTCACCAGAAAAAACAACCCATGAGGTTTGGAAGGAGAGGCTGGAAATGGAGTTAACCATTAGACATGCCTGCATGAGAAAGCTCCATAAAAACCCCAGTAGCAGCGGGTTTGGAGAGCTTCTCTGTTGGTGACCTCATCCACATCCTGGGAGGTGACACACCCACCTCCACAGAAGCTCCTAAGCTCGGACCCTTGCAGACCTTGCTGTATGTGTCTCCATCTGGCTCTGGGTGCTTTTTTTGTTTTGTTTAATAAACTGGTAACTGTAAGTAAGTATTTCCCTGAGTTCTGTTAGCTGCTCTTGCAAGTTAATTGAACCCAAGGAGAGGGATCCTTGCAACCTCTGATCTATAGCTGGTTGGTCAGAAGCTCAGGTGAGAATTGGGGCTTGTGACTGGCAGCTGAGTGTGTGTGTGTGAAGAGAGAAAGAGAGAGAGAGAGAGAGAGAGAGAGAGAGAGAGAGAGAGAGAGAGAGAGAGAGAGAGAGAGAGAGGGAGAGAGAGAGAGAGGGAGAGGCTGGTGCTGCAGAGAATTGCTTGATGTAGAGAAAAACCTCGACATATTTGGTGACAAGAAATGAAGTGTTTTATATGAGTAGTGAAGAAGACACACAGGAGAGAAACACAGTAGGGAAGAACTATTTTTTTTTTTCCTACACAGGCTATAAACTGAATTGAGATTTTCCTATACAGGTGGTAATGAGTTCAAATAGAATGCAAAACAAAAACAACGAAAACCCCAACCCACAACCTGCATGGCATGGGCTGTCTAGATGCACAGGTAACCTGTTCACTGCCTCCACTTTTCACTTTCAGTGCAGGAATACTATTGTTTGCCAAATTGAAAACAATTTTTTACTATTAGGTTTAAAGTAGCACTGTCAAATAGCCATGTAAAAATAGTGGTTTTATTAGGAAGAATTTTCTCAATTAAGGAAATGTGCTAATGCACATTATTTCACAAGCCTTCAATGGCAACTTGACCTGAGGCCACCCAGGTAGGATACTGTTATGATCGGTGTCAAAGATGATTTACGATCCCTGAGTTTCAGAGCTTTCACACGGGCAAGACCACACCATTAGCAGCTGAACTTTAAAACAGTAATACAAGTACCATCTTCTGTTTATTAGGTACTTATCTGTATGCCGCCATTATCACCCCCACTTTACAAAGGAAAATGTACAGCGGTTAGGTAATCAGTAAGCAGAGGAGCGGAGGTGGGGCGCTTTGGAGCAGCTCCAACCCAGATGCTCAAACTCCTGGACCAGCTCTCAGCCTCCCTCTATTCCTTACTCTTCCCGGGCGTGTTTTCCTCTCCTAATTAAACCCTCCACTACTTCGTGGGGTCCTCCTGCTTTGTTCTTCTCAATAACTTTTTACCCCTTCGCAGGAGCACATCCACTTTTTTTTTTTTTCAATTGCTTCTAAATTTTAAGGTACAAATATGATACCCTCGCCTTCCGACATCGATGCTGCTAGGAAGAACAGCTCCACGCGGCAAACCTAGCCCCCGCCCGCGCAGCTAGCTCCGTTCCTGGCTGCTCCGCCCCCGGGTCGCCCCGCCCACTCCCTTGCTCCCTTCCCGGGAGTCCCGCCCCCACGCTCGCCCCGCCCACTCCATTGCTCCCTTCCCGGGAGTCCCGCCCCCACGCTCGCCCCGCCCCCACTCTCGCTCAGGTCCCGGTACTCGCTCCTCCCGCGAGCCGCGGAGAAGCGGAAGTGGGGACGGGCGGCGGCCTGCACTTGGGCTCCGCCGGGCCTTTGGCGACCACGTCGCAGGAGTTCCAGGCCCCGCCCAGCGGTCGGCGCTGACGTGGCTCCCGGAAGTGGGCTGCGCTGGGCCAACATGTTGCATCAGGTGAGGGGCTGCCGCGGCAGCGGAGGGCTGCTGTACCCGACCTCGGCCTGGAGAGGGTAGGGCGCGAGCGGAGCGTCCCGGGCTGTGGCGTCCGCGCCGGGATGGCTGTCGGAGCCCGAGGAGGAGCGACGGGGGCGGGCGCGGGCCGCTGTCCAGGCCGCGGCGGATTCGGGGGCGCCGCTGGTGCGGAGCCAGAGCGGCTCGGCACCCCGGGGCGGCTGCAAGCACCGGGCGGAGCGGGGTTGCCTTCTCAGCTCCGAGTGCGGGAGGCTTGGCCTGACCCGAGGGCCGCGCTGCCCAGCCAAACCAGAATTGGTGGTGGTTGGTGGATTTAATTACAGCCCACACGTTTCCAGTCAGAGATAACTATGAATAAGTCAGTAATCCTTTCTTTAAAAGAGATCTGTGAAGTGCACTTGGACTTGATGGTCACAGGTGGGCTTTCTCTTACTAGACTAGAGGCATCACCCCGGCCCATGCACCGTTCTAGGCCCTGCCCTCCCGCAGCTGCCGTCAGTGAGGTCACTAAGGACTGGGTAATGCAGCGGCCACTTTCCGTCACGTGACCTCTCCTCATTGTCTCATCACCTCCCTGGCTCTGACCCTCTGGGCTTCTCTTCCGAGGACCATTGTAATGGCATCATTGGGGCCACCTGGATGATCTCCCCATCTCAAACCCTTCTTTTAATCACTTCTGCCAAATATTTTTTTCCCAAGCAGATTTACATATCCACACTATGCAGGGATTAGAACGTGGGCTAATTTGGTGGAGTGAGAGGAGGCATGATTGGTTAATGGAGGGATGGCCTGGGACAAGACTTGAAGGTGAGCAGGGCCCAGGTTGAGATGTGTCAGCCTAGGAGTCTGTTTTTCAGCCGCAGTGCTGTGGATTGCGAGTAGGGGAATGATAAGACCTCATGTGAAAAGGTCACCTCAGCTGCTGGGAGGAGATTGGACTGTTTGGATCAAGAGCTGGAGGCTTCATGAGTATTGAATGTTCTTATTAGGACAGTAATTCCATAGCATCATACTCTTGGCTGCACACTATGACCATCTAGAGAGCTTTCAAAAATCCAGATGCCCACACCACACCCCAGACCAATGACACCGGAACCTCAGGGTGGGACCCAGGTAGTTCCAGCCTGTACTCAAGGTTGAGAACAACTGGTCTCCCACCTGAGTCCATTTTACCTTTCTAGCTTTAGTTCCTCCTCTTCTGCCACCTTTCTCTTACTCTGAGGGCTCTGCTGTTCCCTGTACAAACTTTGCACTTCTAGACCTTTGAACATACTCTTCGTTAAGGGCCTGGAATGAGCAGGAGGCCTACTTGTTCTGTGGAGGCCCGCTTCTCCAGGTCCTCTGACTTGTGCTCGCACTTGCGCTTGTATTTTTCCTGGCCTTGATCAGTCGCCATGCTTTAAAGGCAGTCAATCATCTCCTTTGTGTTGGATTGTATTGTCTGGCCTAGTGCTCTTTTAGATACTAGGACTCACTGAAGTGCAGGGACAGACCTTGCCCCCCAGTAGCTTACAGTTTGGAGGGAGAGAGGGAGGGTACACTTGCAGAAGAATATCCTGAGATAATTGTTCAAATGGAGATTTGTTCCAGTGCCGTGGGAAGGGGAAATGGTATGCTTGGGGACTTCAGGGAAAGTTTCTCTTTTAAATCAGTATTTGAGCAGGAATTTGAAAGATGATTTGATGTTTGCCTACTGGTGAGCCACGTAGGGGATGGAAAAGGGAAGAGCTCTCTGGGTAAACGTGAAAGGCAGATGGAGGGAGAGACCCCGTGTTTTCAGAACATGTAGTAACTATTGCTGTAGTGTCCAGTGGGAGGGAGTGTCAGAAGGTAAGCAGGGGGATCAGATCATGAGATCTGAGCTATGTGTGAGGGAGTTAAGTTTTGTTCCATACGTGGAGGGGCTCCATAGACAATTTGGGCAGGGGAGTGACACGGTATGATTTTCATGTTGGGAGGATTACTGAGTAGATAATGAGAGGCTGGAGTAGAGCTGAGCAAGCCACTAGAACTAGAAGCAGGGATGAGTGGCTGGCACTAGGAAAGGTATAAAGAGCAGATTTATTGTGGTTGAGCCTGAAGGTGAATTGCAGTGAGTTGAAATGTGAACCACTCTTAGAAGCCTAAAGTTGTGAAAAGAAGGAACCCCTTGGAAAGTGGAAGATGGAAGGAGAGATTCAGGATCAAAGTTTTTAAAAATATCTTTTCACTCTATAAAGGACATCTGAAGAAGTTTCCATGCTGATTGGAAAGATCTAATAGAAAGCTTTGAAGATACAAGAAAGTGTAAATAAAGGGAAAATTAATGGAACAAGCCCCTGAGGAAGCAGGAAGAAAAGTGATTCAGAGCACAGGTGGTTTGCTTTGGGTAAAAAGAGTTATGAGAAGGGGTCAGGGAAATAATGTAAGTCTAATGATTCTGTGAAGGAGCCAGAAATACTGAGTTTCTTCCAGTGCAGGACCATAGTCTGCACCCTGGTGCTTTCTCACAGGCTCAGCAGCTTGGGTACGGATGGAGACAGCAAAACAAGCCCCCTCCCCCCGCCCCTGCACCTTAATGGGTGGGGGTAGGGGGCTTGTTCTGTCCTTGCTCCAATCTCACTACAAAGGAAATACAAATAGATTGCTCAGAGCAGCTACATTTTCTAATAACTATTCTCTACAAACCACATGAATATGCTATGGCTGAAGCATTTTTCATCTACATCTGCAATAACTGCCTAAAATGTAATGGGGGTTTTGCCAGTTGGCTTTGACCATGTCTTAACCTTGTTTTCCATTTTGACTAGCATGCTTGCCTTGTATGTAGTCAGCAGGTACATGCTGAATTCGTTTTGCTTCATGGGTTTTTAATTTTCTTATTAGGACAGTAATGATGAAAGTGAAGATGTTGCACTGTTTGATGCAGAAGAGGAAACAACTAATCGACCCCCAAAATCCAAAATCAGGTATGAAAATAACGTTTACGAGTTGCATTAGTGTCCAGTACTGTTCTGTCTGTGAACTGGTGACAGCTGATGGGATTCAAGCAGAGTGGTTGAGATGTTCTTGTGATCTTTAGTCTTAGACAAAAATGGGGACATTTCAGATTCTCATTGTGCATAACTGGCATGGAATTTTACTCAACACTGTTTTCAAATCCGCAAATCCAATTACATGACCACTACTATGTTTTCCTTTAAATTCTAGTAGTTTCTGTAGATGCATTATGACATTTTGATTTATTGTGCAAATTTCAGAATTGCATTTTTTATATAAACTAACATGAAAATATCAAGCCAAACATTTCTATTCCAAATTTAGTTCTCTCTAAAGAAATTCACTTAATGGAATCAGATTCTACTTAAACTTTGAAAACAAAGTGAGAGGTGCCAGTCACAAAAACCATATATTGTACAATTTCATTTATATAAAATGTCCAGAATAGGCCCTATCTAATAAAAGAGTAATATGCAGATTGACCATCACTCCAACACACAAGATAGCTGCCCCCATGTGGTCAAAGATCCTGCCTCTATGTGGACACAAGATGGCCAGCAGGGAAGGGCAGTTGGGAGGCACCAGGCCTGAAAGGGAAGGCAGTTGAGAAGGACCAGGCCTGCAAGGGAGGACAGTTGAAGGCGATCAGTCCTGCAGTGGAGGGCACTTAGGGTTGACCAGGACAGTCAGAGGAGGGAAGTTGGGGGCAAACAGGCTGGCAGGGGAGCAATTAGACATCAATTAGGCTGGCATGTGAGTGATCAGGCTGGCAGGCAGAAGCAGTTAGGGGCAATCAGGAAGGCAGGCAGGTGAGCAGTTGAGAGCCAGCAGTCCTGGATTGTGAGACCCTCAAGGGGTCCCAGATTGGAGAGGGTGCAGGCTGGGCCGAAGGACAACCCCCCCCCCCCCCCCCCCCGCAACCCCCCTTTCCCCATGCACGAATTTCTCAATAAAGCTGTTAAATACACTCTAATGGTTACTTTGTCTTCATGCCTGAAGTATTCAATGAGTTGTTAAAGTCCTTTTTAAATAGTGTATTTGCTGTTTTAAACAGGGTTTAGTCAAATAATGGGGCTTAAGAAAAAAGAGGTTGGTGATTTGCTTCTTCCTCAAATCATCTTTTATTTTGACCAAACTGCATGATTATGCTATGGCTGAAACATTTTTTCATCTACATCTGCAGTAACTGTCTAAAATGTAATCGCATTTCTTTTGTTATGTTTTGGTTTTCAGACATCCAGTGGCATCATTTTTCCATTTATTCTTTCGAGTCAGTGCAATTGTAATCTATCTTCTCTGTGAATTGTTCAGCAGCAGCTTTATTGCCTGTATGGTGACGATTATCTTGTTATTGTCATGTGATTTTTGGGCAGTCAAGGTAGGTTTGATTGTTTTTATTTTGAAACCATTTAATATGATGAGATTGAATGGTGTATAAATGGTACAAAAATGAAACGTAGTATTTTGGGTTGCCATTAATTTATCTTTTTGTTACCTTGAGCCTCATCTGTGTTAAAGTGCCAGGTGTATCTGTGCTTTGTGTCAGCCTACATCAGCTTTAAAATCTAACAAATGTGACTACATACTGCTTCTAATCCATTTCACCTGTTTTTTTCGGGGTCACTTCTGGCTGTCTAGATAAGACCTCAGGATAGCTTGTTCACAAGAACTTAAGGAGTACCACCATCTGTGAAGGCTCTAGCGCAGTAGTTCTCAACCAGGACCCGTTTTGCCCTGCAGGGCATGTATGGCTCAATGTCTGATAACATTTTTGGTTATCTCTTTGGGGGAAGAGTCCTCTTTGCTTCTAGTGGGTAGGGGCCAGTGATGCTGCTAAACATCTTAAATGCACAGGTTGGATAGTTCCCCAAAACAAAGAATTATCTAGCCCAAAATGTCAGTAGTGCTGAAGTTGTAGGGGATAGAAAGGAATGTAAGAAATGGTTTCAAACGCAAAGGCAGTGATGAGAGATGGATGGATAGATACAGAGGTAGATGGACATGTGATAAAGTAATTTTTAAAATTGAAACCGTATACTCTAGGTTGTAAGTATGTAGGTGTTAACTGTAAAACTACTCTTCTGTGTCCTTGGAATTTTCATAGTAAGATGGTTTGGGACGGAGGGGGGAAAAGCAAAAGCTAATTTTGGAATTTCAGAGACATATATTGATTCAAAGACGGGCAAGATGTGACAAGTCTGTTCACTACCACCAACACAGCAGTTTTTCTTCTTCTTCTTCTTCTTCTTCTTCTTCTTCTTCTTCTTCCTTCTTCCTTCTTCCTTCTTCCTTCTTTCCTTCTTCCTTCTCCCTCCTCCTCCTCCTCCTCCTCCTTCTCCTCCTCCTCCTCCTCCTCCTTCTCCTCCTCCTCCTCCTTCTTCTTCTTCTTTTTCTTCTTCTTTCTTCTTATTATTTTAATATATTTTTATTGATTTTTTTTACAGAGAGGAAGGTAGAGGGATAGAGAGTTAGAAACACCTATGAGAGAGAGACATCAATCAGCTGCCTCCTGCACACCCCCGACTGGGGATGTGCCCGAAACCAAGGTACATGCCCCTGACCGGAATCGAACCTAGGACCCTTCAGTCCACAGGCCAACGCTCTATCCACTGAACCAAACTGGTCTTGGCTATGCTGCAGTTTTTAGACCTTTTATTCTTATAGATACCAGCAATGGTTGGTTTGGTGGTGGCCAGTTTCCATAGGTCACAAATGCTGAGAATGAAGAGTACAAAAGTCTATTTTATTTAAGATTTTGTACAGTCTTCTTTGGCTTACTTTTCTTTGAATTTCTTCTGTTGCTTTATGCTCTAAAGTATTTGCTATATCTTGGTAACAGTTTTGTCCCCTTTTTATTGTTCATGTAATTTCTGTTTAGCCAGATAAAGCATGGCCTTCAGTAACTTTTTCCTTATAATTTCCAAATTCTTATAATTAAATCCTTTTGGGTTTAGGGTTTTAAAAATTGTGCCCCAAAAGTATATTTTTTGATAACTTGGGTTTTTTGTTTGTTTTTAATGAGGAATTAAAAAATGTTACCCATTATCTGGCAAAATTACTTACAGATATCCAAACAATTGCTATTTGAAGAGTGATTAAAAAGTCAAGATGAGGAAATTATTGAATGAACTTGGGAAAGGAGGTAGGCAGGGTTCGAAACCTAGTTAGAACAGAAATGTTATCATAATTATTATAAATCTCAGTGCAGTTGTCAAGAGAAAAAATTATAATCATTAAAACAAACATTTATTTAAAAATTTTTAATTGAAATGTTATAGTCTATATGGTGCTTTTGCTTTATTTCATACTCTGATGGAGTAAAAAAGTTAAATGGTTTTTAAATTTTAGTGGTAACTATTAGTAAAATAGGTTGTGTATCTTTCACAGCATTGGAAAAGATAGGAGCAACTAAAACACAGTTTATAAAGCAAGGGAAAGAAAGCACATGGCAATGAAGCTTAATTGTCACAAGGCATAGTACAAGGTGGTGGAAGTAGTAGCAAATTAGTACTAACAGTAAATGTAATTTGATTAAACTCCCTTTTTAAAAATAAGAATTCTGAGATTGGGGCAAAAATCAAAAGTCCAACCAAAAAGTTCTAACTAAAATCATGATACTAGAAAAAAGTATAAAATGCAATGATGACATCAGACCAATTCAAAAGGAAACTTGGCATTATTATTATTAGACAAAATAGAAATGGGAGTAAGCAATCAATGGAAGAAAAATCATTTTATGAGACATAGTAAGGTTCATTCACAGAATAACATTACATCAAACTATGTTTAGTGAAAAACTTAGAAGCTCAGAGAAATGGAAGGAACAATAATAGGAGTTTGACAAACCACTGTCTTTGACCAATCAAAGCAACAAAAGCTGAATATAAATAATAAGGTGGAAAGGACCTGAATGAATAAAGAGGTCAGTTTAACAGTGGTATTTGTAACTTTTTACATGCAAAGATCCTATATAATAAAAAGCCAGCTACCATGACGGCCTAATGACCAGAACGACTGATCACCCAGTCGCTATGAGGTGCATTGACCACTTCTTGGTTCCTCCCTCCAGCCCGCAGGCTCTGAGTGCTGGATGGCCAATGAGGAACCATGGGGAATTTGGTGGGCTGCAGCGGGGCGGGACTGGGGACTGGAGAGCAGATGCAAGATGGCCTTGATTGCAGGCTAGGTCTAGGGCTCTACCCACAAATGATTTTGTGCGCTGGGCCTCAATTTAATAACTAGTTTAGTTCCTGTGCAATATTTATAAAATTAATCAAATATCACTATGAAGGAAATCTAAATAAAGTGCTCAGAGCAGCTACATTTTCTAGCCCAGCGCAACAAAGCTAGAAATTAATAAAAAAATGAATGTCAAATCTGGAATTTTAAAAAGATACAATCTAAAAAATAACTTGGCTTAAAAAGAAAACAGAACTGTCTGCTTTTCTACCTAGAATGTTCTTCTCATCTACATATTACCTTAACACAGGGATTCCTAATTGTTTTTGTGCCATGGGTTCCTTTTCCAGTCCCATGAAGCTATGAATAGTGCTTTTAAATACTGTTCTGCGGTTTTTATTGTGACAAAATCACCAGTACTGTTAATTCTACTGTGGTTAATTGTCTATATTCATAATTTAAAGGTAAATTAAATTTATCCAGGTGATAGTGAAAATAACGATAATTTTTCCCATCAAAGTTCACAGGATGCCACTAATTAAAAATCTGTATTACTGATTTATACTTATTCTTTAAATTTCATTCCAATTGTTGATCCCACAGAGAGTCATTTTCTGGTTCCTGACGAGATAATATTTCCCTGTTAGGCACCCCACACCTCTCCCTCACCGTACTTACCACATTTGGTAATGGGACATATGCCCATTGGTTGGCTGCCTCTCTTCCCCACAAACACTTGAAGCTCCAGGAGGACAGCAAATGTATCTGTTATCCCAATTTTATTACATGCTTAATAAATATTTGTTGATTAATAAGCACTAGGAAAGCTATCAAAATAATTAGTTATGTTCATAAGAGGAAAATAACTTGGTACATTTGAAGTACTGAATGAAGTTCAGTACTTCGAACCATTGTCTTAGTTTGAGCAGCTATTGTAGATATAAAAGAATGCCATAGAAATTATAGGGATTTATTTCCCAAAGTCTGGAGGCTGGAAATCTAAGATCAGGGTGCTAGTGTCATTGACTTCACCTGAAGACTCTGGGGTTCCAGACTGCTGACCTCTCCTTGTAACCTCACAGAAGGCAGAGAACAGGTCAGAAGCTCTCTCTTGATTCTTAGAAGGGCTCTGATCCCATCTCTGAGGGATCTACCCTAAGGACCTAATCTAATCCTAGCCACCTGAAGTTCACTCTACACCGGTAGAGTGCCAGCATATAAATTTTGGGGAGATGTCAACATTCAGTCCATAATAACCAATTTAAGAGTTACATATAAAATATATGTAGCTGCAGTCAGAATATATAGGAAAAATAGGTCACAGTAGCTAAAGAGCAAGGGGGTTAGGAACAAATTACTGAACTGGAGAAAGGACAAGAATTCATGAGGGAAAAGGAAGTGTTTATAGATATGCTTACCCTGTCACCTCCACCCTTGCTGGTCCTGCCATTGCCGTATGTTTAATCTTTCGTCCAGGCCTGGTATGTAATGATCTTTAACTGAATATTATGGAGGTAAAGCTAATGCTGTTTTGTTGTGAAATATTACACTGAAATAATGACCCTATGCTTTTAAAATAATGCTTTTAAAATATGTGGTATATATTAATCTTTACCAGAATGTCACAGGAAGACTAATGGTTGGCCTGCGTTGGTGGAATCATATTGATGAAGATGGAAAAAGCCATTGGGTGTTTGAGTCCAGGAAGGTAAACTCCTCCCTCCCCCAGTTTTTAGTATCATTCAATGAATTATGTGTAGTTTACATTTGAGTGTTTATGGATTAAGTGTTCAAGAGTAAAAGTACTACCCAAATCATTTGTTATATCAATGCTAAACCAGATGGCTTTCTAAAACTAATTATATTTTTCTGACTAGTTCAGACTGGAAACTAACTGTACAGGACGGAATCCTCAAGGGGTGGACTTTGGGTTAGAGTTTATACAGTGTGCTAAGCTGTTAGGAGCTGATGACAAACGGTCTCTTTCCTTACATTGCCTGGCGTGGAATCACCGCTTCTAATAGCTTGTTCTGTCCTTGCTCCAATGGTCCTTTCCCATTCGTGGGCAGGAAAAAGAAAGAAGGTTTATATCTGGATAGAAAATCTGAATTGATCAGTGCAGTGCCATCTTTAAGTTGGCCCTTCAGGAGCCCTAGGGGACCCTGGTCTGTTTTGGGTTGGCCTGCTTGTCTATAATGACAGTTGTTTGGGAGGCAGAGGACAAAATTCTTAGAGACAGTACCAGTGAAATTGCTTGCCTTCGGCTTGGAAGGGCCTTGACAAGTCTTTCTCAGAAAGCAGCATATGCTTAGCGAGCCCATATTTCTTTACATTATAAAATCTACCTTATAAACAACTCATCATCCTTTTAAATTCCTGAGTTCTGCTGAGATACTGTGGTCATTGTCCAGAATCCCTCAATTCTATTTTTTTTTTTCTATGTACCCTGACTTAACTTTTTAGGATGACTATTATCTTGATATCATTGATCCTCACCTAAGAAGATATCATTTAAAGCTTCTTTATGAATAAACATAAATGCAAGAAGAGTTGAATAGAAGTCTACCAAAGACCATTCTTAAACTCTCTACTCTGTCCTGAAAATTCTTGACTTAAAACAAGTGTATTAAAACCAGTTCCTAAAGTTACAATAGAGGTAGAACTAATAGCTGTTTTGTTTATTTGGTTGGGGGAGGAGGGTGATGGGTCTAACTTAGGACTTTGGTTGTCTGTATTTATTTGAATTTGAGGATAAGGTGTTTTTCATAAATAAATATTAAACAGTCTTACTGATAAATATCACAAAACATTGGTTATTAAATTCATGTTTTTGTATAGGCATCCCCTCAAGATAATAAAACTGTTTCCGAGGCTGAATCAAGAATTTTTTGGTTAGGACTTATTGCCTGTCCAGTGCTTTGGGTGATATTTGCCTTCAGCTCTCTCTTCTCCTTCAGACTGAAGTGGTTGGTGAGTATCAGTGTATAACTATTGAATAACCCATTAAGATGTCTGATGGGTAGTCAGAGTAATCAGCCATTTATATTAACATCAGGGTCCCATCTTGAATGGGCAGCTTGATCCTGAATTTCCCAAGTTTGATTTTCCTTTTTAAGTATTGATGAGCAGAGTCCTAGCAAAGACCCCATTTCACCATTTCCTTGGGTGTCTGGCAGAATTTTAATTTAACCCACCTTGTACAGACATTACTGTATTTATCACAGAATTCACTTCTGGGATGGGATATTCAGAAAACTGCAGACAAACATGTTTAGCTTAGTTTGGAACTAGAGTGGTCTTTTTAAAAATATTGGTTGCTAACCTGTTTTGGATATCGTTTATTTAGTAAATCTTCCCAAAATTTAGTGGCTTAAAATATCAACAGTCATTTAATGATCTTTCTCAGTTTCTCTGGTTTATGAGCTTGGGAAGGGCTGGTCTGGAAGTTCTGGCTACTGTAGTTGCAATCAGACAGTTGTTGGAGTGACTGGGAGCTGGAGTGGCATCTCCTCTTCATGAGGCCCACAGCCTCTCACATGGCCTGAACAAGTGGCTTGGGCTTCCTCATATTCTGTTGGCCCCATGGCAATTAGATTGCTTACTTGAAGGTTCAAGCTCCAATTAAGAGTGTTTCAGCTCACAACCTGAATTACCTTTTACAACTGTATGAGTTTGCTCAGGCTTCCTTATCCCCAACTGCCACCCCTGCTGGCATGATTGCCCCCAACTGCCCCACCGCTGGCATGCTCACTCCCAACTGCCCCCCGCCGGCCTGATCATCCCCAACTGCTCTCCAGTCCTGGCCTGATCACTCCTATTCGCCTCTGCCTCGGCCCTGCCACCATGGCTTTGTCCAGCAGGACTCTGGAAGGTCTCCCAGTCTAATTAGCATATTACCCTTTTATTAGTATAGGTAGCTATCCTCCTATATGATAAAGCGGTAATATGCAAATTGACTGTCACACTCTCGCACAAGATGGCCGCCACAGGATGCCCTGCAGGGAAGGTTAGTGTGACGATTAGGCCAGCACGGGAGGGCAGTTGGGGGGGACTGGGCCTGCAAGGAGGGCAGTTGGGGGCAACTGGACCGGCAGGGGAAGGCAGTTGGGGACAATCTGGCCTGCAGGGTAGCAGTTAGGTGCCAATCAAGCTGGCAGGGGAGTGGTTTGGGGTGATCAGGCAGGTAAGCAGGCAAGTGGTTGGGAGCCAGCAGTCCTGGATTGTGAGAGGAATGACCTACTGCTGGTTTAGGCGCGAAACTGGCAGTCAGACACCCCCCAAGGGGTCCCAGATTGTAGAGGGTGCAGCTGAGCTGGGAGATACACTCCAGACAGTCCATGAATTTCATGCACTAGTCCTCTAGTATATATACTAATTAAAGAGTAATATGCTAGTTAGACCAGGAGACCTTTTGGACAAAGCTGGGGGTTGATCGGCCTGCAAACCACCCCCAACAGCCCTCGGCCCCTCGCCCAGGCCGGCCACGCCCCCAGTGGGGACCCTCACCCTGATGGGAGCATGTCCTGCCTAAAAACACTCCTCAGCCCCTAACCCAGCTGGCCACGCCCCCAGTGGGCACCCTCACCCCGATGGGGGTGTGGCCAGCCTGCAAACTGCTCCACGCCCCTCACCCAGCCTGGCTCCGTTCCCCAAGGGGACCCTCACTTTGATCTGGGGCCCCTTCAGGGCAGACCAGCCAGCCCCCTCCCATGCACCAGGCCTTTATCTATACTAATGAAAGGCTAGTATTTTAATTAGTCCTGGGGACCTTCTGGATGTCCTTCTGGACAAAGCCATGGTGGTGGGGCAGAGGTAGAGGTGTTTAGGAGCGATCAGGCCTGGAGGAGAGGGCAGTTTGGTTTGATCAGGCTGATGGGGGGGACGGGAAGTTGGGGGTGAGCAGTCTGGCAGGAGGGGCCAGTTGGGGGTGAGCAAGCCAGCAGGGGTGGGGGCAGTTAGGGGAGAGCAGGCTGGCAGGGAGTGCAGTTGGGAGCAAGCAGGCCAGCAAGCAGAGTGGTTAGGGGCAATCAGGCAGGCAGGCAAGTGAGTGTGCCCCCGTACCTCAGTTTTTCAGCTTTTGTGCACTGAATGCTCCCCTCTCTTTTCTTCTGCTTGTAGAACTTCCACTCAGCCAGCCCTCCTGTGGCTCTGAGTGATAGACGTTTTGTCTTTTAGTTGTAGTTTTAAAATTGTTGGGCACGGCCGCAGTTTAGGTGTGTTTTCCTTTGCCGCCATCTTGGATTCTCTCTAGTTTTTCTATTTTTTATGTTATTAGATGTTTGTATCATACCTTCTTTCATGAATTAGGAAATGCATTTAATATATGTTGATTTCCTACTATGGCGATGGTAGAGTTACCAATCATGGTTTCTCCTACCTTTCCTCCCTGCTTCTACCTCTGGATTTTTGTTGACTATATAGTTGACCCATGAATGCAGTAAGAAATCTGTGTGTAACATTGGACTTCCCAAAAACTTCACTATATAATCTTATTTTAGTTATTTTAAGTAATACCATTAAATCTGTTTATTGACTTTGTTTAGAAAAGAAATGGAATTCTCCTAAATACCCTGCTTTGTTTCTTCCCTTTCTATCACCTGTTTTGTTTGTTCTAGTATTATTTTCATTGTCAAGGTTCATAATAATTATCTTTTGAATGACATTTCTGACCAGTTGTTTAGTCTTTGATATACAGTATTTTAAAATACATGAATTCAATCTTTTTATTTCAGTTCTCCCTCTTACCTCCTGGATGGTTGGCTAAATTTCATTGTTGGGTGATTTAAAAAACAAGTTGCAGGTGTTGCTTTCCTTTAGTTCTGTCATATTTAAGGATGTGAGCTTATTGATTTTATTCTTGAACTAGAGGCCCCGTTTCATGAAATTCATGCACTGGGGGTCTAGAGGGCTGTGTCCTTCAGTACAGCCTGCACCCTCTCCAATCTGGGATCCCTCAAGGGATGTCTGATTGCCCTAAACGGGCAGTTGGACATCCCTCTCACAATCCAGGACTGCTGGCTCCAATTACTCGCTTGCCTGCCTACATGCATGATTGCCCCTAACCACTTCTGCCTGCCAACCTGATCACCCCCTAACCACTCCCCTGCCAGCCTGATTGATGCCTAACTGCTCTCCTGCCAGCCTGATTGCCCCTAACTCCCTCCCCTGCTGGCCAGGTCACCCCTAACTTCCCTGACCAGCCTGGTTGCCCCTAACTGCTCTCCCCTGCTGACCTGGTTACCACCAACTGCCCTCCCCTGTAGGCCTGGTTCCTCCCAACTGCCCTCTCCTGCAGGCCTGGTCACCCCCAACTGCCCTCTTCTGCCAGTCTGGTCACCCCTAACTGCCCTCTCCTGCAGGCCTAATCACTCCCAACTGTCCTCCCTTGCAGGCCTAGTCCCTCCCAACTACCCTCCCGTGCTGGTTTGATTGCCCACAACCGCTCTCCCCTGCCGGCCATCTTGTGGCGACCATCTTGTGTCCACATGGGGGTGGCTATCTTGTGTATTGGAGTGATGGTCAATTTTCATATTACCTCTTTATTAGATAGTATGGCTACCTGCTGAAGAGGTCTATTCTGGCAGGTGAAGGGGTCTTATTGGCACAGCCCCCCTTCATAGACCTTCCTTTTCCTTCTCCCCGGGACACTGTCTGGTCTCATTTATGGTGCAGGTCAGTAATTACTGCTTATTTTTCTCTTCTAGGCAGTGGTTACCATGGGTGTGGTGCTACAAGGTGCCAACCTATATGGCTACATCAGGTGCAAAGTGGGCAGCAGAAAGAATTTAACCAGCATGGCCACATCTTATCTTGGAAAGCAGTTTTTAAGACAAGTAAGTCTCTTTCTGGCTGTGAGGCTAAATTTGATGTGTCAGGTGACTAATACAGTGATTTCTAACTCTTGTGGAATTTAGTTTTTATGAAATACTTAACTTTTTTAAGGCACATATTTATTTAAGTATGAGTTGATGATATAGTTATTTTAATTACTTTTTGGAGGCTTTTAAGACATTCCAGTGTATTGTCCTAAAATTATTTTAAAACCAGAGAGAGAAACTGTCATTGCTAATAGCTTATTAAAAGAAGAAAAAAAAAATAGTTTAATTACTTTCATTAATTCTGGTGGCTCTAACAGTTTTTAAGAATAACTATAAGGTTTTAGGCTTTCTTTAGAAGAACAATTAGAAACAAAATAAGACTGTATATTTAAAGATTATTTTAAACTACTAAGACTTTTTTTTAAATAAAATACTGGTTTTACTACAATTCCCCAATAAAAATATTTATGAGGGTTTTCAGTGGGATAAGTAGTAATCTTAGATTGTTAAATCTCTTGGGGAAAAATGATTAGGTCTTTGTTTCCAGGCAGTAGGTAGTCAGGTAGTATTGTGTTAGTAGTGAGCATCAAACTTGAACAGGTATAGGATCACCAAGAGGGCCAAAACAGGTGGGGGGAATCCCTCTCCAGAGTTCCTTGTTTGATCTGGGTAGGGTATTGGTTTGCATGTCTTAACAAGTTCCCAATGAGTCCAACGATTGCATTTAGAAAACTAAAGCCCTACTGAAGAATATACAGCTTATAAATGGTACAAAACTAGGGCTTAATCCAGCTCTCCTCTGAGATTCATTGTTCTTTTCATTTTGCTGTAGTTTCTCTTGGATGAGGAGTAGAGAAAAATAATATTTTTGGAGGGATATGATTCTCCTCCCGAGGGTCTTGGCATGGTACCAAAAGAGCTTTTCTGTGGTCCACATATGGTGGTTGTCAGGTGTGTGTTTAGAGGTGTTTTTCCTTAGGATTTTCAGTGTTTCTGAAATGAAGGTGGCTAGTGAAAGTGGATGTTGGGTAGATTAGTGGACTTAACCTGCCACCTGGTGGTACTCTGCTAGAATGACACTGACCTGCTGGACGTTGGGGTGGATCCATTGATTTGCTTCTCTAGCATGTTTGTAATTTTTAACATGATTGGGGCCATTGAATGTAAGTTAATGTAGCTGGCTCTGCTTACAAATACGGAGTATTTTCCTAGCTCTTCGAAGTCTGTGTTAAGTAAAATAGTTTTTTTTATTCGGAGTTCTTACTCTTTTGCAGAACACTGGAGATGATCAGACTTCCTGAAGAGGGGGAGAAGTCCCCTGTGGGCTGTTATATTGGGAACAACTGAAGAGATTCTTCACTCTGAGCCTTTTAGAACTCAGTGCATGTAGCAGAGAGAAGTATTGTGTTTGTTTTTCCATTTAAAAATTTACTTAAAAAAACAAATCGGAAAAGTAGTTTTCATTTTCTTGCTAGCATTTGGGGCTTAAAATATTGTATTGCTAGAAACATTGTCAAAATTTGGTTTATGGTGTACATATGTGTGTGCCCAGTCATGTAATTAATATCCACGCATTATAGTTTGATAAGAGTCTTTATATTTGTGTACATATGTAATGAAGACATTTGCATTTTGATTCATAGAATATAGAAGGTTCTTAATCTCATTTCAAAATTATGTATATTTAAATATTTCTGTAGGTTATTTTCAGAAGAAAATTTTGTTTCCATGGTAAGAGTGAGCACTTCAACTATGTATAAGTTAGAAATAATTGTTAATTTTATGGCTTACTATGTACTTGATAATGAAACTCTTATTCTAGGCATTCAAAGGCAGATATAAAACAAATTTGGATAGTGGTGTGAGCTAGTTTATTTTTATTGTAACAAGTCATGTATTTTAGGTCTATTAATATAAATGAGTTTTCATGGTTTAAGTGTAAGAGATACTTGTTTATTGCTGTGTTCTACTTGTTTTTGGAGATTACAGCCAGGAAGCTCTTGAAGAGTGTTCTTGGCCTAACAAAACATTTTGCCATGAAGAGAGCATTATTCTTCAGTCATAGTAAGAATAATTATTTAAATACTTGGCATAATAAATGCCTAAGAGACACTTTTTTTTATGAATCTATTTTTTCTTGCTTTAGTGGGGATATTGTAAACCATGTATTTGTGTTAATGGTATTTCTTAAAAAGCAATATGTGTAACAGTCTATGAACTTTACAGACGCATGTAAATTCTCTTATAGGTATTCGGTAACCTTTGTTGGAGTCTCAGTCTACAAACTGTTTTGCCAATGTATTTATACATTGTTAAACTGTTTTAAAGATGTTTTGTTTAATTGAATAAGTGTCTATTTGGAGTGATAGCTTTGAAAGTGCATAACTTTATATTTGTATAAAACTCTAATGTTTACAAAGCACTTGACACGTGTAATCTCATTTGATATTCGTGACGTACCCGTTTCGTGTGATGCCTGGAACTTCAGGTTACTGAGTGACTTGTCCAAGGAAACAGGTTATAGGAAGTCTCATCAGTATACAGTTCTGTGTGTAGAGGAATTTTTTTTCTCTAATGTCTTTTCCTTTCTTAAGAATCATTAAGTTATTAAGTCATTCATTTATTAAGTGCCTGTTTGCCATTTTACTTGTGCTTATCTGGTGAGGAAAGTCAGTGATGCATACAGACATGTTATTATTTAATTTGAAAGATCTGAATCTTTAAAGTTAAGAGTCTGACAGGGGACACATTGATACAGGTTTTGATATAACTGTTGTTACTTGATCCTGCAGTCCTACAAGCCAAATATGAATTGATTTTTGGGATATGCATGTGGCAGGGTTTGCCACTTATTTCTAATATCCATTTTCTCTTCTACACGTTTCCTACTTATTAGCTGGGACATGGCAACAAAGACAGCTTGTTCCAGATTTGCTTGCTGCATCTTATGTGGCCATGTGACTGAGTTCTGGCCACAGGCACATTTTCAGGAAGTTCCTAAAAGGGGGGCATGTCCGTCCCCTCCCCTTTTCTTTTTCCTGCCAGCTGAAATGTGGACTGCAAAGGTGGAGCTTGTGAATAGCAGATAAATAAGGTGGGTGTTGAGCTCCCTCTAATGGGAATAGCTACCCTAACTGCCTATTGAATCTACAATAATAAAAACATAATATGCTAATTAGTCCGGGCACCCTTCTGAATAAAGATGAAGCTGTAAGGGAAGACTGGGTCCTGAGTGCCAGAGGGAAGCTGGTGCCAGCAGCCAGGGGAAGAAAGGCCCATTCTTGCACGAATTTTATGCATCGGCCTCTAGTTTTTAAATAAGAAACAAACTTCTATCTTGCTTGAGTGTTATTGTTTTGGCTTTTCTGTTGCTAGAGTCTTAACTGAATTCTTCAATAAAGTGTAGTTTCAGCATCCCCCCTAATTGTTTGCATTAGTATAGTATTTAGATAAATAATTCAGTAGGTACCTGTTCAGCTGTGCTAACTTTTGCCCATAGTGCAGTGATTTTTCATACTCGTTCATTCTTCCAAGTCTTGTGTCGAAGCTTAATATTTATAATAAATAAAGCAGGGCTGCTCTGGGGGAAACAGGATTGGAGGCTCTAGAGTCACCCTCTCAGCCCTACCTACCAATTTCCGAGGAGCCTCCTGAGCTGCTGTTTGGAAACCACTACTAGGGAAAGTGAAACCAGTCCGTTCCTGGTTTGGAAGATTATAGTCTCAAATCGTATATTAAATATACTTTTTAATTACAAATAAAATAAAAAGAATATCTAATTCTTGTGAAAATCAGGAAACACTCCTTCAAACCTTTATGTTGTTCTAAATAAGAAAGGAACAAGCCTATCAATTCCTGACGTTATAATTTAGTGCCAAGGAAAATGTAATCTCATTTGTAACTTTTTCCCACTACAACTAATTAAAGAAAGCAAGCACCCATGGTCTGAAAATCAAGTAGTACAGAAGGGCAACAAATAAATGCAAGTCTTATCCCATTCTCAGTTTTGTTCCCCAGGAGCAAACATTTTCAACCGCTTGGTTTTATGTTTTGGGATATTTACCGCTGTACCTCTAAATAATATGCTTAACGCTTACCTTGTTTCTTGACACAGTAACTTTATAATTAGCTGTTGACTTCCTTCTGTGAAAAATTAAGATTTAACTCAACCCCCTCCTCCCCATATATAGTTTGAGCCTGTTCTTTGTCCAATTGATGGTAATATTAAAGGCTTAGCATAAACCTCCTTTTTTTTTTTTTAAATCAATGACCTGTTGTAACTTAATTTCCTCTATTAGTAAGTTGTTCAGCTCACAGTAACAGAAAATCCTGTAAATTAGGGGTGTCGAACTCAATCAGAGAAGGGGCCAAAATCTAAAATCCAGCCAAAATCGCGGGCGAATGGTTTACTGAACAGTCATAAACTGTCATTGTGATGGAAACGCAGCGGAGTGCAGTGATGACAGCGCGGTGCGGGCCACATTGCAAGGCCTGGCGGGACGGATTTGGCCCGCGGGCCTTGTGTTTGACACATGTGCTTTAAATAATGGATTTCAATAAGTCTGAAAGTGGGTGATTGCTGGTGTTGATGTAGTCACCAAACCGTTACTTAGAAAGCTGGGTTTTGTCCCCATGCTCATTGCCTCAGGGTCATGACTGTCACAGCTGAAGAAATCACAGGAGATTTTTGCTTCTACTTACATCTCATTAGCCAAAATAGTGTCACCCAGGGGTAAGAAAGTCTGGGAAAACAGGTTATTAAGGAAGGCACACTGCTGCCTTGAATAAGAGATTTTGTTAGTAGGGAAAGGGACACTGGGTGGGCATCTGGCAGTGCCTTCCACATACTTCTCATGTGGGGCTTTCTGTGGGGCACGCCAGCCCCTGCGGTGGCCAATGCTCTTGGCATCCTTTGGTCTAGACGGCCCTTTGAAGCAACTTTTTAAAAATATATATATATTTTATTGATTTTTTTACAGAGAGGAAGGGAGAGAGTTAGACATCGATATAAGAGAAACATTGATCAGCTACCTCCTGCACACTCCCTACTGGGAATGTGCCCGCAACCAACGAACATGCCCAGGACCTTTCAGTCTGCAGGCTGACGCTCTATCCACTGAGCCAAACTGGTTTCGGCTAAAGCAACTTTTTATGCAAAGCCATTAAAGCAAGTAGTTCAGTGAGGGTGAAGACTGGTATACTAATACACTGCGGATGGGTCATGAGAATTCTCACGTTTTCTAAGGCTTGTGGTCAATCACAAGAATTCTTTAAAAAGATATTAGCTTGTAAGAACATATGTAATAAATAACTTCAAAATGCAATGGGTATTTAATTTTAAAGTATCCCTTTAACATTTATGTAAAATGTTTTTTGTACTCATTCGATAGAAACTTACCTGGCCACTGGGTAAAGCTAGGAAGAAAACTACTGGTCCTCAATGTATTAATTATGTATCCTTTGATATGATTAGGGGGTTGGATTTAGAATATTCAGAGCAGTGGTGCTACCCACAAGGGATAGTGTTTTGTAGTATGGGAGAGAAGGATTGATTGACATAATGATTGGCTATTTTAGTGGACAGAGCCTAGGGGTACCAGGCCAAGCAGATGACAGGACCAAAAATTGTCGTGTATGTCTAATAATTCCCATATATCTTATGAATAGTTATATAAATAAATTAGTAGAATACACCTCAGGCTTGCTTTACTTTCTGAAAGCACCCAATCCAACTATGATCCATGGAGCCAACCTTTCGTTAAGTCACAGAGGCCCACCTATAGGCCCATATCCTATGAATAAACCCTTAGCACCCTCTATGAGAAACCCTTGATGTGGTCTTTCTTGTGCAAAAGGTTCTAATAAGCCCAACTCTTCAACCACGGATCTATTCCCCACAGTCTCTAGCTTGTGAGCATTGACAGTTATCTGAGCCTACACTATCAGTCCCATTGTACATATAAAAACTCCATTTTACATTTTTAGTTGCAGATTTGCAATATTTGACATCAAAAGCAACCATCAAGTGAAAGGTTATACTCTATTCAGTACTTTACCAAGAGTTTTCCCTCATTTTTAAAACTCACCAATGACAACCTTGCTCATGGCCTTTGAATTGCAAGTCAGACCTGCTGCAGTTGCATTGTCCAATTTGTAGGGCCACATTCCTGGTAATTACGTTCTCATAAAAGCACCTGACTGTCTTATTGCATCTTCAGTAGCTGTGGCCATTTACTTTCATATTGAACTACATATTTCCATAAGTTGCTTCCTTTTATTTCTCCTTTATATTAGACATCGACTTTAAAAATGCCCGAGATAAGTTGTAGTCTACCCATATATATGTTTTTTAGAATAATAGGAAGGGTATTTAAAAATACTTGTAATAAAAAATTGCTGTGGGTCTGAAGGTTTTAAAAACACTGGTCTGAGCCGAAACTGGTTTGGCTCAGTGGTAGAGTGTCGATCTGCGGACTGAAAGGTTCCAGGTTCGATTCCGGTCAAGGGCATGTACCTTGGTTGCGGGCACATCCCCAGTAGGGGGTGTGCAAGAGGCAGCTGGTCGATGTTTCTCTCTCATCGATGTTTCTAGCTCTCTATCTGTCTCCCTTCCTCTCTGTAAAAAATCAATAAGATATATTTAAAAAATAACAACAACAACAAAAAAACACTGGTCTGAGTTACAGGTGGACAGTCTGTCCCTTAGTCTTGCTTAGGTGGAGCTGGAAAGCAAATTTGAGCTGGTATGCAGATATTCTAATATTCTGAGTTCTTACTTAGGATGGCTGCCATAGACTTTGGAAACTAGTTCTGGCATTCTATGAAATTTGAGAAGTCAAACAATTCTTGTTTGGGTGGTATATCATAGGTGGAATGTCTGATGTTCTAAGTGAATTCAGTATATGTTGTTGCATTAATTTAAGAGAAATCCATTGTATACCACTTTCTATTAAAAGAAATCCTGGAGTAACATTTCAAGAATGGTAGAGTAAGGGTCTCTAAAGATCTGGTCCTCCATAGAAACAACTACTTGCTATGACATTTGCTGACCACCAGGGTGTGTGTGTAGAGCATGGCAGGCGGGTGTTGGCGGTGGGATGGTGGAACAGGTGAGTGGGGGTGACAGACCAAGGTAGGGTGCTCGTTGATGTCATTGGGGTGAGCCTTTGGTTACTGAAAATTATTCACTCCTGCACGCCATGGTCCCTCCTGGTGCTTGCACCTGCTGCAGGCACCAGCCTTGCTCGTACCCACAGCCAGCACCAGAGGTGCCGCTCACACCTGCTGCCAGTGCCCAACTCTGGCCCCAATCACTTTGCACTATCAGCAGGTGCGGGCAGGGCCAGTGCTAGCAGTGAGTGGGAGTGGCAATGGTGGGAGCAGGCTGCCAGTAGAGAGGGTATGGGGGTGTGTGGAGCATGG